TCTCACATTTATCTTAAAGGTGCACTATGGAGATTTGGGAGTGGAATTTGAAAGTCGGAGAAGTGAAACAATTCTATTCTATATTTTCTGAACTGAATACAGAAACTTTATTCAAAGGAAAAAAAAAGGGTCCCTGGAACAATGTTTGGAGCTAAAAAGCTACCAGGAGAGTTACGGTTTCACTGTAGCGTGTCCCCCACCATAACTACCAAGACTCCATAATGCACCTTTAAGAAATATTTATAAGCTGCTTAAGCATTTTTTTATGTACTTCCTGGTGAAGTTGTGTTAGCAATTCTTTATTTAATCCCAAAGATTAAACCTACAGGAGATCTCACGCCTGAATCTTATTTTAAACCGAGATGATTTTGTTTCTCTGTGCTCATCAGTTTACAAAGACCTCGATTGGATTTGCTTCTTTTAACTTTACCGCTATATTGGCTGCCATGGCAACCACACTTGGTTGAACATGCAGATTTGCAAACTTCTTTTATTTAGACAATTGATAACTTTTTACACTATCGAGTATAATGTTATATTTTAAACAATGTACAAGATGGTCTTAATTATGCCAAACAACAGAAGTCAGACGGGGAGGAGTATCCTGATATCAGTTACTACTGACTTAGGAATGATTATTTCAGCCCAAACCACTTTTCGTGCTTTTAACAAACCTAACACTTTTGGTGCCAAAGACGCTAAACTCTAAGACTCTTTCTTTAGGCTGAAATAGTGTTGTCCTTGTCCAAAGACAAACAGCTTTCCTGTGGATGTCACAGAGCTTTCCAAAGTGTGCGCTGCTGCATCCTGTGAAACCACGCCTGTCACTGTGAAATAACTTGTTTATTGAATATTATTATTTTAAATACTTTGTTCAGGGAAACCTTTCTGCTGTGAATTATCAGTGAAAAAATTAATTAATCACCCTATCGACGCTGTTCATAATTTTTGTTGGGGTGTCACATCACTCTGTATTTCAACAGGACAAACGGCTAATGATAGCATCTTTTGCACGTGGCTTTGTTGGACTGTTTAGTGAGTGCGACTGAGGTCAGCCTGTCTGAAAACAGGAAGCTACTGGGCAGAGGAAAGCTTCCGTCCTGTTGGCCTTCATCCTCCTTGTCGTTATAAAGCAGCTGTTTGGGAGCGTCTGCAGGCTCCTTCTGCTTATAGCCTGGGAACAGTGCATCCATCTGAACACAGTGCTATGAACACATCTGTGCCTGTTGTACAGTTGTTGTATTTTCTGGGATTTTATCAGGGCTTTTTGGGCTTTTTCACGACTTTATTGGAGGGACAGGACAGCATATAGTCCAAAATCTGGGAGAGAGTAGAGAATGACATGCAGGAAAGGAGCCACAGGTCAGATTTGAACCCGGATCGCGCGCTTCGAGGACCACAGCCTCTACACATGTGGTGCACAAACCAACCACAGACCACTGGTGACCCAGAAATGACTTTTATAGAACATGTAGGGCCTTTATTTTAGACTGCTTTGATATGGAGCCCTAAGAGCAACAGAATGCAGTGAAAGATGAACAGACTTTTAAATGAATCTAGCTCACTCTCCAGTCACTTCATTAAAAGCATAAATGTTTTTTTATTTGGTTTTTAGTCATCACACTCCTTCATTTTTCAGAAGTTCAGTTTTTCTCCTTGTTTCTGTTAATTTATTTATTCAGCTCTCCATTTCATCCAAAGAACATTCCTGGTTTCTTAATTACATGTCAAATTATAGGACTGCTTTATGAGACTAAGAGAAGACATGCTTGAGAGGACAGTGTAGCTGGTTGAACAGAAAACAAAGTGGAGGCTGCAGCATGTTCAGCTATGTATGCTTCATGAACTCTCAATAGTCCGTGCTTGTAAACATGCCCGCCCACAGAAATGGCTGGGCCCCTGAAAAGTCCAGTGAATGGGCCCTCCCAGGATATGATTTAAATCAACATATTTGATCAGTACTGTTAGCGCTAGCTTCCTGGCTAACATTAGTTCCCTCTGCCTGGCTCCTATCAGCCTTTGGAGCTGACTCAAATAACTTTGTTAACAAGTTCTTGTTGGGGTCGAATGCCTGATCAAGCTCCCTCCTTTTATTCTTTCCTAGCACGCTAACTTTGTGCAGGTCATGGAACGGCTCATGGTGAGTATTTAAGTGTAAAATAAAATGTGGTCATTGTTGTGCAAAATTAAGATGCACCATGTTCCTCCCCATGTGACTGGGCCCCAGAAGGCTCTCCCCTTTATCCCCCCTTATGGGCAGCCTTGTTTGTAAACTTCAACCAGTGTGAATTTCAGTAGGAGCTAGGGGTACGGCTAGCTTACATAGTCAGAAATGAGTTCAACTTCAGATGATATGACATAGACATCGAGGACATTTACCATCTCACCACTCACACAACTCTCCTGCCGTCTGGAAAAAAGGTACCAAAGCACCCGGGCCCTCACTACAAGACTGTAATAATCAGCCCCCAAGCCACCAGACTCCTCAACACACAGAGAACTCCACCAGAACAACACCATAAACATCAATGAAACTATGAATGAATTGAAGTTATTCATTGTTTTAGAAAGAGGTTTCACTTCTAATCACAGTGATGACGTGGGAAAATAGCCTATCAGTGGTGGTCTTGACCGGTCTTGATTTAAAATCCATAGACCACCCAGTCTGAGTCCGAGACTAGACCAAGTAAAAATACTTTTGATTCTGAGACAAGACTGAGACCTTCAAAAAGTGGTCTCGAAACCAGTCTTGAGACCAAGACTGATTTCTACTACAACACTAGCATCTCGGTCCAAGAGGAACAACAGTTCATCTAAAAAAGTCATATTATGCTTGAAATGACAATCAAGAGAACTTGACTTGACATAAAAGTTGTAATGTGAAAATTAAATAATACTTTCCCAGTATGTGACCCTGTGATATTAACATGTGCAACACACAAGCAGAAATGCACTCACACATACTGAGTGAGAACACTGAGTGATGCAGGACAGCAAATGGATAATAGACCTAACATGCTGCTGCATACCAACTTGAGACATACGCCGACAGAAGATGTCTAATGTAGTGATGAGAAAAAGAAAGGTATACATAATTACTTTAGTGAGGAGAATGTAAAAAAAAAATATATTCAGTGGGAAAAATTAAATGAGCTAATCAAGTCTTGATTGATTTTGAGCAGCTGGTTTCTGTTAAAGAAAAACCTTTTCCCTTATGGTACACGGTGCAAATGAGAAACAAGGCAAACCAGCTCTACATCCAGTCCTGTGGCTCCAACAGAATCTAATTTTAAAAAAGTGGAAGGCGATGTTTACCCCTTTGAACAAGTGCTCCTGCTCTACTGCCTCTTCAGTTATTTCAGGCCAGCAGATTATACTTAGAAAAGACACACAAGCTTCTGAGATTGTCCCTCGCAGGGAAATTCAATAAACCCTTCCCTATGGCCATAGCTAATATTTGAACTCTGTTTAAACAAATATAATTACAGGGATGCTCAAACAAGCCTGAGGGGGGATCCTCTGCGGAAAGTGAACTCATCTTCACTAAAGTGATTGATAGGAGGGGGATAAAGGCAACCACGGGGGATGTGAGGGGACGTAGGCAAACACAAAGTCATCTCTATGAGCTAAAGCAGGATATTTCCTTAAACACAGAAGCATCAAGCAAGCTCGGTGGAGGAGGTGTACTTACGAAAATGTGTTTCATTGGGCTTGTTTGTTTGTGGAAGTTGGTTCTTGGGTTAAGAAGTGTGACGTGCACTAGAGGAAAGCACCAGGAAAAGCATAGCAGTACTTTTCCTACCTCCTCTCTGAAACCATCAGCCATGGCTTCAGTGAAATGTTTTCAGGTAAAGTCGATTTTCCAGCTTCTCTTCTGCACCAAGGTTTGGGTAGAAAGTAGCAGAATATAATGACGAGGTAAACATGTATTTGAAGAACAAATCTCTGCAACCAAAATGTGAAGGGTGTCTCAGGCTCAAAATAAAGATGACATTTGAGACGTCAATGTAGTCCTCGAAGATTCTGTTTGGAAAGTATTTCTTTGAATGAGGTGAGGTGTCTTGGGTCCTATGAGGACTATAAGAAGGAGGGTTGAAAAATAAGGAAATGATGTTACATTTGACAGATTGACTTCCAGCTTTGTGTACACCTCATAGCCAAGCTCCATGGTGTTTTGTTCAATTTGAACTTTCTTTATTAGTTATTGAGGAAATGCTGAACCTCTAACTAACTGAGGAATGGTGATCCGCGGTAGCTGTTCACAACTTAAATAACCAGCCATTTGTTTTTGGCCACTTGATGGCAGCAAAATTATCTTGAAAGCATACAATTACCTACTCACATCTACCAGATACGATAATAGCTTTCATTTGGCCTTCTGATAGTAGAATGAATAAAGTGCATTGGAGCTTTACTTTTGTCCATACTTACTCTTTGGAGGTATATCTGGTTCTTTAGCCACAAAAGGCCTCTCATTCCTCAACAGTAAGATGGTTGTTTGGCAGTTGGCATATAACATACAGTGCATCCATCCATTAGCTACACAGCTTTTCCCATGCAGGGTCTCTGGGAAGCCAATCCCAGCTGTAATTGGGTAAGAGGGGGGTACACCTTGTACTGTTTGACAGTCAACAACAGGGCTGACATATAGAGACAGACCACCAGGCACGCTCAGATTCACACCTAAGGACACATTTTACTGTCACCAACTAACCTATGGAGCATGTCTGTGGACTGTGGGAGGAAGCCGGAGTACCCGTAGAGAACCCATGTATGCACAGGGAGAACATGCAAACTCCACACAGACGACCAGGAACCTTCTTGCTGTGAGGCAACAGCGCTAACTACTAGCACCACCATGAAGCCCCACTGCAGTCATCGTTTTTAAAATGATTGTTAGTTAATGACTAAATGGTTATGATTTAAGTGTAACCTCGGAAAGTGTCTGTTTGTCCAAAGATGTAAGTTGAGCAGACAGTATGAGACAAGCGGACAACAGGTGGCTATAAAAAGACATTTAATTATAAAGTACATCTGAAGCATGTTGCAGCTGGAATGCTAGAGGACACGTACACTCAGTCCCCGAAACACAAAAGTGTCAACATCAACTTATCAACTTGTTTAATGTGACACATTTTAAGACAGTTCATGAAATCATATATGAAAACATATATTGTTCAATATACTGCATGATTTCATAAAGGTGCAAATGGCTGCTGTATGGATATGCTAAACACTTAAATGAGCAACTCTTCATGAAGGTGTCTTTGTAACAAGACGATTAATTCCCATATTGATGCAGCTTTAACAGTAGTGCGCATTGCATCATAATATTTGACACTTTGTCTTTCACATGAAGATCTTGGCAGAACCAAAAGAAAGGTGTAAACAGAATATTTTAAGTGGGTCTGTCTGTTTATGAAACACGCTGAGGCACTTGGTTAACAAACGCATCCTTGATTGACTGCACAGAGACAGTGTTTGTGTATTTTCCTCTGATTGTGGATTAAGTTTTCATTAAAACTTTTTTTTTTTTTTATCAGCACAAGCTTTCAGAAGAGGGATTTGTCTTTATTGCAGTAGAAGGCACACTTGTTTCAGTTTTTGGCACATTAAACTCTGAAGCTGAACTGCACTTGACCTTCAACGTCCTGCTAAAACCGCACAGTTTCTTTGGAGAAACTGAGGATGCCCGCTGTCTTTCAGTGTTCTGTTTGCACTTTTTGGCACTTTTGTCTCGTGTCATAGGAACACTTTCGAGCTTCTCCTGGGTGCCAGGACTTTTACAACAAGCATCTGATGATATTGTTGTATTGTTGGTCGTTGTGGATGTGGACACACAGCTATCACCACAACAATGGTCGTTTGTTTGCTCTGTGCATGGTGGTGGAGAGGGGCCTTGAGTCTGATGTTGTGTTGGTGCCGGGGTGCTTATATTTTGACCATTAACTGAACTTGAGGTTATCAATTCTTGTCTATGATCCGCCTCTTGTACCACAAGCTCTGAGCCAGTGACAGAGCCAGGAGCTGAGTCTGTGTCCTGGTTTGAAGCTGTGGTGGTGGAGAGCTGTTCTCTGGCTAAGCTACCCTGCTGGTTTGCATTGTGGACACAGTACTTCCTGAGGTGGCAGCTGTGGGCAGTTCCTTTCCTTGGGGCCACCACTCTTCCTTGGGAGCAGTGGTGAAAATGGGCAGGTGGACAATTGACATAGTGCATATGACACTCCACGTGTGAAAAGACTGGGTTGAGGTTTGATAATAGGGCTGCATTTTGCTTGCTAGTGCTGTTTCCTGAGAGGGGGAAGATCTGAGGAGTGGGAGGACAGGAAGGAGAGTCCTTGACAGTCTGAGCACAAGAGCAAGTTGTCCACTGCTGGGGAAGGTGAGCAGGAGGAGGAGGGTCCCCACATGTGTAGTTAGGTTTTTGAGAGATCTGGCACCCAGTAGGTGTGCTTAGTGTGGCTACAAGCCCATTTTCAGGGCCACTTCTGCCAGTCTCAGTTTTGTTTTTGTAATTTATGTGTGAATAAGCGGCGGTGTGGTGGTGAGGAGAGAGTCCATTGTAAAGTTGAGCACACACCTCCTGCTCCTCTAGGGGTTTATCCTCAGTCTTCTGACAGGAAGCCAACGGCTCTAACTCATAGTTCTCAACTTCCTCACCTCTGCTGTCCAGCTGGTACTTCCCCAGCCCAGAGCCTTTCCCTTGGGGCGATGGGCTTGTTGATGTGACCTCAGAGAACATTTGACACTGTAGCTTTTTGGGCAGGGGGATCTGGCCACAGGTCCCCTGGGGTCCCAGGCACCGACACATGCACTGAAAGAAGAATGTGGCAAATGCCCAGCTAATGCACATGATCAGCATCATGAAGGTGCCGAGCTGGGTGTAGGCCAATACGGTCGAGGGCATCATCATTGCGCCAGCAACAAAGGTGGTCAGCGCCGCCATAGCAATAGCGGAGCCCATGCGGCTGAGGGAGAAAATCACCTTTCCCTCGCGGTCAGGCTCCGGGGCAAGACGGTAGGCAACGCCATAGTGTACGGCGAAGTCCACCGATAGTCCTACAGCAACGGATATGGTAACAGACTCCAAGACATTGAGCTCCCAGCCCAGAAGCACCAGAGAGCCAACTGTAACGAAAATGGTCCCGCCAATCGAGAGGATTGCGTAGAGACTGATAATGACATTCCAGGTGGTAAGGAGCATGACGCTGAATGCAACAGCTACTGACAGTGCCATGGCAACCAGAGTGCCATCTGACAGGCTGTCCTGAAGGTCATAGAACTCAAGGTTGCTAATGAACCAGCCGTGTCTGAGGCCTGCTGGGGCGTTCCGCAACTCTTCAGTGATCCAGGCATCCACCTACAAAATAAGAACAGAAATTACAGAATAATTTAAATTTGTCTTTTATAAAAATATGACACCTAACAGAGTTAAACAAATAAAATGCTATGTGAAATACCAAAGACCCTACCTCACAGTAGAACTGGAACATCTTCTCATACGCCAGGGTGAAGAGGTAGGTACTCTTGAACTCTAACACTATGGCTCTAATAGTGTCATTGATATCGAATCGAGGTCCAGGGGTCTTACTGTCCAGATGGTAGTTAGTACTCCGATCCAACTCCATAATGGCCCTTTTTATGCACAACTCAAAGACCTCCTGCTTGTAGGGGAAAGTGGATTGACTGCAGCAGGGGTACACAGAAGCCTCCTCACAGTCCTGGTTCTCCATCCACTGATCAAATAAGGAGGTTAAAGTTGTTAGCCTCCAGTGGCTCAAGTATTGCACAATAGATGACAATGTAAATGATGTATTCCCAGGCCAAATCAGGTCACATTTAATGTCGTACTTTGTTAAATATTGGACAGATTCACTAAGATGTCCCTCGATGTCTAACATGACACAAATCATATCTTCAATACATGATGCACACATGCAGTACTGACCTGCTTGAAGGTCTCGATAAAGCAGCTGGTGAAGTCCTGCTCCTCAGACTGAAAGACAAAGCTTTGATTTCTCAGCTTCTGGCAGAAGTTGAGGATCCACAGCTGAGATGCTGGACTGGCAATGTTGAAGCTGTTGTCCAGCATCAATTTTCCCTTGTTTTTGGGGTTCAGGGGGTCCCCGTTATCCACCGGCGTCACACCCCATATAATAGTAATAGGCATGTGGAGGTCCTCGCCATGATGAACCCTCTCAAACATGAACAGTTTCTTGTACTCTGCATCATAGCGCTCAAATGGATGCGAGGCACGAAACACCTGAAACTCTGCTAGCTCCAGGGAAGGGAGCTTCATCTTTGGGTTGACACAGACCACATAGGCCCCGCCCACAGTGATGGCAAGGAACCAGAAGAGCCAGATGTAGCGCAATTTGATGACAATGCAGGGCAGCACCTTTTCGAAGAAAATTCTGGACGCCTCAGAGACAGTAAACAAGCATTTATTGGCCTTCTGACAAAGACCTGTCCAGAACATCCTGGTGCCGTAAATCCTTTCCTGATGCTGAGGCTTGGAGCAGGGGAACATATTCGGTAGGTAGCGTTCATGTAGCACAACCACAGCTGGAAGCCATGTCACCATGAGAATATAGTTCACCAAAATAGCAGTACCTGCGTAGACACCAAAACAACGTATAGCAGTGATGTTGCTGACATAATTGGCATAAAAAGCTGCGGCGGTGGTGAAGCTGGTCACAAACATAGACAGGGCTGCATGTTGTAGGGTAACGCTGACTATCTCTGCCAGCTCAGCGTGAGGCTTATCAAATTTGGTGTAGTTCCACACATCACAAAGCACAAAGGCATCATCTGCCCCAATGCCAACGAGTATGATGAGGGCGGTGAGGTTCATGAAGGGGAAGAACTCAAAGTTGAAGACCATTCGGTAGAGAAAGTATGACACGATCAGTGAGCTGATGATGGCTATTATTGTCATTAGAGTGATAAACACTGAACGAGTGTACACGCACATGACGAACAGGACGATCACTATGGCTATGGCAGGGTACACTGTGTCTGTGAGGAGATAGTCCTGAAAGAGGTCATGTTTGATACCAAACTCGATTCCTGTGACAGTTGTGATCCCATCCGAGGAGTTCCAGTTCTCAAAATTGTCTAAGTAAATGTTCATCATAGACTGTCCTTTCTCAGTTGGGGAGAAGAGCATGCTATATTTGAGCAAAGGTGGAGGATACTCCAGGCTCTTGGGACTAAGGAAATCTTTGTCTACCAGGAAGTGAAGGATCTGGTAGACTGCGTTGTACTTCGTGCACTTCCTGGGTACACTTGCACACTTCAGCTGGTCTTTCCGCCGCAAGGTCATGTCCCAGCAGTCAGGTCCAAGAGTGCCATTGTGGTAGTACTTGGCACATGAACGCAGGGTCTTGAGCGTGTGTGCTACATCACGCTCCGTTATCTTCTGACAGGATGATCTGTTGGTGAGAACTGCAATGTAGTTACCAAGTGTCCAGCTGGGGCAACAGGAGGCGTCATTGGTGCGCTGACAAAGGCTCCAGTAGTCACGATGGGAGCGCACCTGGGAAAAGAGAGAAATATTAAACACACAGGTAAAAAAAAGACACAAACCAAACAGTAATATGACAGCTGATGAACTTACCCTTGAGTTGTCCAGATTGCACATGGATTTGATGGCCTGAATATTCCACAAGTTCTTCCCTTCAGCTGATGCGAACACAAGCCTTGAGTAACTGTCGCCTGTGTAAAGAGTGATAAACACTTAATCAACAAGCAAGCTACTAAAAATCATCACATTCAGTCAATCATATTACATTAACAACGACATAGTCTAATGGTGATTTGCACTATTGACTTTAAAAAACATTAAGATCATAATTCATGTTTAACATCGTCCTAACTTACTATCAATAAGCAGTAATTATGAATGTATCGAAGGTAAACTCTTAGTTGATGGCCTATTAGCTTTAGACTACCATGTAGAGTAAGGTACTAATAAGCGCTTAATAATGACTAGTACCTAACTAGTTCATTGGGAATATTGTGACCTTAATTTGAAATGTTTCCAAACAAATGTTAAACCTACATGTTTTGGCAACATACCAGTGTCAGAAAGATATTCTGAGTTTGTCCAAAATCATATTTAAGTGTGACTTTTATCTTTTTCCCCAGATCTATGTTAGGTTGATGCATTTTATTCGTATTCTCTTCTTTATGATATAAAATAATCTCACCTGGAACATCACAGAAGAAATCTTTACTAAAGTCCCATTCTGCTTGCCGTTTGTCTCTGTCAAAGTGCTCCTCAGGCCACCTGGGCTCTTGGTGGCTGCAAAACAACACAAGATTATGATTCTCTGCTACTTCATACATGTCTTATTAATTCAGATAAAATGGTGATTATAAATAGTATTCATTTAAAAGGTGAAAAAAGTACAACAATCCTTGTTTTATTTTGAATTGTTAGGCAGACATTGTTTACCAAGAGATGCTCTTAGATTCTCTTCCTTAAAGCTTTAGTGAGTGTTCCTTTAGTTAAACTCTCTATATGTGGTTCTGGGTTTTGCAGCTGTTTGTAATATTAATAGAAAATATGCATTGTAATAATCTAAGTGACCAACAGGGTACCCCGTGCACAGCCAACCTACGTTCTCAGGTGCCTGTTGGTTGCAGGAAAATACAATAGAAAAATTAAATCAATAATCTGTGGCACAAAAAATTACTTTACTGTCACTTTATTGTAAGCGAACAACGCGATTCCCCTGTAGCTCCCCGCTGGGCGAACCTGAGGAAGCTACAGGCGAAACACGTTGCTCGCTTGTAATCACTTCCAATATTTGTTTGACTTTTTATAGAGCCTGAGATTAAACTAATATTCCCCTAGAGAAGCAAACTGCACCACTGCTGATCAGTCCGATCTACGAGGGTGCAAACACACACATTCTGTTTGCGTCAACATTTAAACCACTGAAATGTGGGCGGAGATGTTGTTGTCTCAGGGGATGCAAAGTCAGCGTGACACAAAATTAAAAAAGCATATCTGATACTTATTAAAGTAATAAGCAGTTGGAGATTTTGATAGAGATAGAGAGAGAGAGAGAGAGAGAGAGAAAGAGAGAGGGATGGATAGAAGGTTGGGGATTTGATCCCCAGTTGCTGCAGCCACATGTTCGATTAGTCCTTGGGCAATACATTTTACCCCAAGTTGCTACCGCTGCTTGATTTGCGGCATATGAATGTGCATGAATGTATGAGTTAATACTGATGGATACTGATAGCAACCTCTGCCGTCAGTGTGTGAATGGGTAGGTATGAACTGCGGTATCAGAGCACTTTGAGTAGTCAAGGCTAGAAAGCTCTATACAAGCCCAAGTCCATCTACCATTTACTTTGGCATATGATGTATTTGTGTTCTTTTGTAAGAATGATGCTGCAGCCGTGTTTTCAGAGTAGTGTAGGGCCAACATGCTAGTGAGCAGACAAGAATGGCAGAGTAATCAGGTTGGCTGTCAGAGAGAGACTGAGGGGTTGACAGACAGAGGAGATGAGGCAGGAAAGCGCGCTGACAGCAGCGGAGGCCTCTTGGTACACCATCCGCACATAAGTACACAATTACATCTGCAGACAGACACGTGCTGCAAAACAGAGAGGAAGACAAAGACAGCTACACACATAGGAGGAGAGGTGGAGGCAGAGGGAGATGATGCAGGCTACAGATAAAGGGAATCGGAGCGGAGTGGAGCTAGACGTTTTTGAGAAACTCAAATCTCGACTTTTAGTAATTGGACTAACAAAACTATTTTAATGGTGGTTTGCAGCGAGAAGAACTGATCAAAAATAAGTTGTAAGCTCAAACAGAGCACAAAGGGACATGGAGTGAACAGCCAACGAGATAGAGGCAAGACACAAACAAAACCTGCTCTTCATTAGTGAGCATAATCCCAGTGAGAGAACACAGTGGACCACATTATGTATAGGGCTCTACTTTGTCCCATTTTCTTTCAAGAAGGGATTCAGACCTTTCAGCATGTCGGTCAACACTATCCCCCCCTTCACTACCTCTGTCTCACATCCTGGCTCTCCCCTGACCCCCCGATTGAGAGAAATAATCATCATATTGTGTGGCTGTAGCCTCTTGAAAGACTTTCTTTGGATATACTGACATCAAAACCTAAGTTGGCCAAGTCCATCTTTTAATGGGAGGACATATGGTTTAGGTTTTGTGAGTCACATGGCCATATAGATGCTGAAGTTTGTTTTTGGGATTGTATCTTCAGGTCTTGGGCCAAAATCTTCCAAACAATCAACTATTGTCTGACAACACTAAAGGTCTGGGGAGCAACAGCCATTTCGGGGTGTAGCCAGCGGTAATCTATATCAGCAGAAAAGAATGTATCTATCTACACCACAACTCCCTTTTCCGAGCGCTGGTTATTGTTTGCAGTCTGACTGGCAACTTCAGATGCAAGAATTAAGTTGCAGTTGGAAGAAGACTTTCCATCTTTGTTAGATGATAGCTGATGGGAGCTAGGATTGTCTTGTGTCCATTTTTTATCAACTACAGATTTTGTATTCATTGGTATTTTCTTAAAGTAAAGTGATTGGAGTCATGAGAAGTTCTACAGATAATAATTTGCTTACCTGCTCTCTCAAACAGCCGTTTTATATTAATTCGTTTTTTTTTATAATGCTGTAAAAAGAATGCTTGAAATAAGCACAATTAGATAGTGAAACACACGTCCATTGAATTACTTTTTGGCCTGTTCATCAGCGTATTTGAAGGGGTAGTTGGCAAGTGTTGCTTTGTAGCCCGTGTTCTTCACCATGTTGCTCCATGTGACCAGTCTCTGGCCGATAGCTGTTCCTCGTGGCTCAAAACCCTGTGTGTGAAGAAATCGAGAAAAACAATAAGCTCAACTGTTTCCCATAAAGGAAGCAAATCAAAACACTTATGTACACAGTTATGCTGAATATTGTGAAATAACCACTTCATTCATCATACAGTAGCAGTCTATTCAATTTGACTTGTCTATGCATACTTTAGAAACACAGGACTTCTCAAGAGCTCTTGTTCCGCCCAGTATGAGCAAATACAAGCTGAACTGTCAACATCACATCTAATACATAAAGAACCTCACCCACTCAGGACTCAAGGGAAATCAAAAGGTTGGACCCTGCTCTTCTGTTCTCACAGTTCTCTCATACAGTCAAAATACTCTTTACATTAAGTGGAAAATCTGTGTCTCAAAACTTTGATTTCCTTTCCTTCAGTAAATATTTTCACTAAAAGGCTTAAGGTATGTTACTCTTCGTTTTGACTCCTCAGATCACACACGTAAGTATTCAGGTCTCTTTGTGGTACACCAGGGTTTATGACATTCATCCAAAGAGGAAGGCAAGTTGGGTCAGTACTCACTCGCAGTGGGTCAGAGAAGTCCGGCAGGTCGGGCACCAGGATGCCAACTAGAGCACACACCACAGTGAGCACTGTGCATACCCCGAGCACCACCACAGGCCAATCAGCGATCAGCTCGGCATAGCTGAAAGTAAGGAGACTTTAGGTTAGAGCACAGTGGAAACAACACTGGAGGCTACTCGATCTCATCCTTCTTTAGGTATCTGTCGTCATCTTGTTGTGTATAAAATTACATTTTATTAATGAGAATACTGACGGTGAGCATTTCTGAAGAAAAAACTTAAAACTATCTATTAAATAAAACTTTAAGTTAGAGCCATCAGACTTCATGGCAGTAAACTCTGAGAAATGAGGAGATCTTAGCTGCTTGTGGAGGGAGCTCAGGTACAGGGAGACTCACTCTCATGACTCACTATTAAGGAATGACAGTTCAGTGGGAGCAATGATTGATGGATGACATGAATAAAGGGAGAGGAGGGGAGAGCTGAGCTGAGCAATCCAAAGCATCAACACAGGAGCAACAATTTTTGGCAGCTCTTACCTTTTGGGGAACCGAAAGGGCCTTGCGGGGCTGAAAAACAAACAAAGAGGGAGATAAATCAGCTTTTCATTCTGAAGTCTTGCAACACTCAAACCAAAACAGATCTGCACTGACTTTTGAGAAAAAGTGTACATCTTTTGTTCATAAGCCCATAAAGCCCACACCTTTCAATTTTTCCAGCAGTAGTAGCAGCACGGACGTTGTGTGTAGGAACACTGAAAGAGTACAAATTGAATCGGCTTTCAAAAGAACTTCACAGTGAACTCATCGTGAAACTCTTCACTCCTTTCAAAATGTGTTCACATGTCACAGTCGAGCTTTCAGGCCTTGTGTTTCTAAGCTTACATGTGCCACACATGTACATTTAGGCTTTAGACAGGAAATAGAGATTCACCTAACAGACTCACATGGATCTGAAACGTTCTGTTGCTCTATCCAGTGTCATCAATCAATAATAAGAAATAATACACTATACCTGTAGGCTCTGACAAACATTTCTGGAAAACATTCATTCAAACACACTTTAGGTGGTGTCGGTGGCCTAGTGGCATAGGAGTGCGGAGATTGACAAAGATCTGTGGATATTCTGAAGTCATTTAACAGTATTTTACCTCCAAAGTCCCAAAGATTTTTGTCTTTTTGTCCTTGATCTTGATCTTGCTTGGGCCCAAACTGCAATTTGCAGGAACAGAAAAATATTTTTATTTAATAAATAACTGGTAAATGAACTGGAGTCAGAGGTCAGATATTAACCTGGGCTGCCCGCTTTGAGGAATGTAGCCTCTGTACACGGGGCGCACAAACAGACCACTTGACCACAGGCGCCCCTAAAAGCGTTTTTTACACCTCAGGTCACACTAACCCATTCACAGAACATTCACACACTGATGGCAGGGACTGCTATGTAAAGTGTCAACTATTCCATTCATACACTTTCACACGCCGCAGCAGCGGGAGCAATATGAGGTTCAGTGTCTTACCAAAGGACACTTTGACATGTGATAGCAGGAGCTGGGGATTGAACCCCTACACTTCCAGCTGAGAGACCACAGACTCTACCACTGAGCCACAGGCGATAGACCTTCAACCTTTAACAATCCCTAATGAAAGACACACATATCATGTGAAATAGCAGTAAAGGGAAAACTCTGTTCTACTAATCTAATTCTTTTCACTGTTCTCCGTTTCTTGGCTGTCCATGTATGGCCTTGAACTGTAGACCTCAGAGCAGACATGGTCCAAAACTGAGGAGACCAGTTCCAGGAAATAGTTGGACTGGATTTATTGAAGCGCTTTCAGGCATATCTATTTGTCTACTGAGGATCTGTTTTGAATTTTGGCCTGCAGTGCATCAATCTGAATCTTGTTTTAGCCAAATGGAAATATATGAAGCAAACCTGAGTCAGCCGTTTGGCTGCAAATCTTAAACTATAAAGATGAGAGTGTTCAAGATTCCACCATGCCTACAGTCATAATTTGTCCAGTTCTCACAAAACTTCAGTCAACTTTCCGTACCGATTTGGGTGATGAATTAAAGATTTTGCAGACTGAGAATATCAGTTGATGCTAAGGCTTTTATTTTGGGCTCACTTTGCATTTATTCTGTAAAACAAAGGAGGAATACAACGCAACAATCCCTATGCATGTGAAAATTATATAAGAGGCATCGAAGAGCGATAGAGGGATTGGGATGGTTGTCAGAACTTGGTAGTTACAGTAGCTAGCTACCAACCAACCAGTGGTTAGCTCTGATACCTCTCCAATAAAGCATGTCCAAAGGTCCTGTTGTGCATGTGTGTAATCAAAATGAGCTACAAAGACAGGATGGCTGACCTTTTGAACTCTCTGATCTCTATTTGTGACACTACCAAAGCAAACTTCAGTAATAGACTCTTACTTTCCTTAAACACTAACTTTTCATCCCTCACTTCCCTCTCTCTTTTCATGGCCTCTGGCCTCTCTTTTATTTTCATTCTCTCCCCCCCGTCCCCCCGGCCCTGAGTAACCTTTCAGTGTTATTCCGTTTCCTAAAGGGAGAGTGTTTCTGGATCCAAGGGTTAATTAATAAGGTAAACACAGACCACCAGCCACTCACTCAGCACTGTGCTGACAGAAGAGGGAAATAGAGAAGAGAGAGAGTGTGTGTGTGTGTGTGTGTGTGTGTGTGTGTGTGTGTGTGTGTGTGTGTGTGTGTGTGTGTGTGTGTGTGTGTGTGCTGCTTACAGGTTGTTCACACTATACTGAATCTTTTCATGTGAATAAGGGATAAGAGAAGAAACTTGAGGTTTCTCTGCACCTCGCTGGGCTTGCCATGATAACTGGTCTCATATCTGGCAAACTGAGGGGCGTCCAAAACAGCCGTGTGGGGGAACCTTAAAAAAAATCTGCACGCTGCAGCTCTACCCAGATTATTCATACTTTAAAGGACAGTGAGTGTGCTGACTTTTCTGTTTGCTGTGTAGTCTTTTTGTGGTTGTGCACCTGCTGTTTTATTACTCTTTGAGCTCCTTTTTGCTGTTTTGGACATTAACAGTTCAAAGCATGACTTTCACGCTGCTTTAACGCCTAGTCTGCAGTGTAAAGTGCACACAGGTGTGATGGATGGGTGAAGTCGTATGCCATATGCAGTTTTGTTTAATGTTCATATTAAGTATATATTTTTATTATTTTTGACTATTTTCTGCTGACAAAATAAACCCCGCTCCTACTCAGACCACACAGAGTTCAACCTTCAGACAGTGTGACATTAAAGGTGGTGTGAAGAGAGACCTGGACAAACATTTCTTATGTTTCTCATGTGTTTTATGTCATCAATCATGTCTAACTATGTTGAAATATATGTTAGTTAGCATGTAAAGCCCTGATAGCTACTTTGTAAGACGGAGGCTCACTCTCTTGTGCTGCCTGTGAATCACACAGCACCTTACGTGCACTGCTGTGCCAAGATCATCAAAAAGAACCAATCTGTCCTATTTGGTCCAGACGAATAAAGAAGCCCGACCCAAAAGGCCTCGCAAACAGTTGTTATTCTAAATAATGTGCAAAGCCTCATCAACCAGTGTCCTGGAAATACAGAGTACAGCGATAGATATCAGACGCACCCCTTCTGGTTGAGACCAGACGTGCAGCTGTGTGACAGTCCAACAAATGGAGAGAAGACAAAAAAGAAAGAGTACAGAAACCCTGGATTCTACAGTTTTGCAAAAACAAAAAATGAATTAGATTAAAAGCAATGGAATGCTTTGAGAGCTCAGAGAGTTCAACACTGTGCAGATATTTCAGGTCCAATAAAAGATGTTCCTACGCATTAATCCTACTGATAAAATGTTGCTAAATCGCACATGACAAGCTGCTCTTCACGTAGGAGTTGTTGTGTTTCCATACACGACATGTGTCGTAGCAACCAAACCACCTGGTGCCTATAAATACTAAAAAAAAAAATCAAACTTGCTCAATATAGTAAAAGCTGACCTTTGTTGAGAGACAGCTACAGAAGGAGTACGAAAAAGGAATTCTTGCTATCTGACAAGGCATGAATTTAAACCAAACTTGTGGTTGCCATAAACAACAAGTGCTGTTGTTAGAGGCATCTGTGGAAAGAGCAGAAACATTTAACTCCAGGAGAGTGGAGAGTGAGCAGGGGGAGGTTAAATATACAAAATGACCCCTGAATGTTTGGCTGTCAGTGAAGGGTTGTGCAGCTAAAGCAGGGTCATCAGTGAAGGTAGAAGCATGTCAGCTGAGCCTCAGGTGCCCTGGGGATATACATGTTCTGCCTTATTTTACCCTTAAGAAACAGCTTTCTTACTGGACTGCATTTAACATAGCCTTGAACTTTCAGTCCTCAAAGAGCCTGGAGACTATAGAGCCAAATGATATGGCCTATAAATAAAACACATTATTCTTAAAGCAAGAATGTGTGACTTTATGATCCAGTAGATGTCGCCCTTGAGCACCAGCGTGAAACCAAAACAAACTGTGGTTTGGCGACACCTCCGACATACTGAAGCCACCGCTCTCCTGCAGAGACAAAACTCTAACCTCCCTCCAATTGAGTTCGTACGGAGGAGTTTCTTCTCACGTACTGTAGACAGGCATAGACTGAGAGAGACATTTACACACAGGACATACTTGATTTCTGATATTTAAGTGTCAAATGTTGCACATTCTTCCTGTAGGCTAGAACGAACAACAGTAAACTAGATGATTTTTAATAAATGTAAAGGATCGACAGATTTTAAAACAGCATTCCTTGCCTTCTCTCAGATACAAAAACACACGTACCATTTCCAGGAGAATAATTGTCAATGAGTGGGAGGTTGATAAGCCTTCAATGGCCTTATGCTTGTGGCTTTAAGATTTACCCTGACATTTTGTACTCTGTTTACGATACAATTTAGTACCTAAACTTTACTTCAGCTAGAATAATTGGTCCCCAAATCCAACCAAGAGAACCCAGCAACAGGGCCATCACACACATTGCAACCTCAATAGAACAGGGCATCCCACATCCACATCACCCAACTTCCCTGTAGCCCCCCCCCCCTTAGAGGAACATTAAGAAACAAACATGAGCTAATCTTAATAAATGGATTCATGTTTTGTGAAGCAGAGAAAATGCACATGAAAAGATCTCCTCAAAAATGTGACGTTACAGTTTATCAACATGAGTGTGTGAGAGACTAAAGTGTCTTGTGATCTCGGATGTAATCCCTCTGCTAATCTGGCTGATCAGTCTGGAACAGATCAAACTGTTATCTGTCAAAACCTTGTCGGCGTCCATACCCTGAAGTTAAAGATGGTCTGAGGAATATAAAGTATCTGAGGTTGCCTGTTCATGAACGTTATTTTAAGGCTACCACTAAAGTACAGTGAACCTGTTAAAAGGGGTGAAGACTGGTGTTAAAGGGAGACGAGGTCTAAAGGGTTTTACTTCATGTCTGGTTTCAAGGTAAAACCTCACATCTGAGGCACACTGTAGTTTCTAAATAGGAGGTGCGATACTGCGCCTCCTCAGGGCATCAAAAAAGTTGAGCACTGATGAAACTTTTGCTGCCGTTTTTATACACCTTTCTGCACTGTAGCACTTTCATATTTTTTGACCCCTCATGTCTTAATTAAAGACACTATTCCAGCATCTATCTCCACCTGTGGACCTTTTGTGGCTTTTTAGGCCAGTGGAACAAATGTCCCAGAATCTCCTCCTGCAATTTTTCAGGTATATAGTTTCCTGCATGAAATCCTGCAGTCTCTATTCCTCTGTCTCACATACACACTGAACAGTAAAGGAGGGGAGTTGGAGATAGTTTGATTTCATTTGCAAATTGATGATTGAATCTGGTGCTGATTGGTATTGGAAACAAATTACATTAGGATATTTTTTCTTCTTCTGCAATATACCAATTACAAATAAACTTTTGGCTTGCAATTGTGTTACTTAAAGGTCATCAACCATTTCAAACGAGAGAATTTCAATTTTATAACCTTTAAAATAAAGTGACCTGACACACCTCATAACAAAGCCCTCACCTTCAGAGAGACCACAGAGAGCTGCCCCCTCAGGCAGCTGGTTCTCAGACAGAAACCCAATCAGAACAAACTCAACTATTAAACAACGTTAAGAAAAAGTACTTCACACATTAGAAAGACCAACAACAAAAAACAGAGAATATTACATTGTTATCTGGCTCTAAATAGAGATTGCACATGGGGCAGAAAACCTGAGTACTGTGACTGATACCGAACTGAGGAAATGTTTGACCATGTACAGACTCAGTGAGCATGGCCTTGCCATCGAGAGAGGACGCCACAGATAGACCTGGTACCCCAAAGAGGACAGACTCTGAGTCTGCACCCAACAGGAGGTGGAAAGGGAACTGCATTTTTTAACTACCTATCCAAAGTACCAGGACATCAGAGACACTAATACATCCCACTCATCACAAACACACAAAAAGGATTTAATAATATGAACAACAACCAAAAACCTGAGTACCTGCTGGGTGAGGTACATCGATGTGCAAACACTGCAGCATGTTATGTGAGCTGCTGCGACCGCAAAAGAGCACCCAACAGCTTTAAAACCAGCATGAACCATACAGCGTAACGTCTGTATCATCTGCAACATCATCTGTACTACCTGTGTACAACTGTACATGAGACTGTTCTGTTCGACCTACCTTCTTCCAGGTGCCTGGTTCTGGACATGCTCCTGCCAACGCTGGTGATGTTGTTGATGGAGACAGAAAGGTGAGGACGGATGGGGATGGGGGTGAGAGTATGTGCAGGCAGAGTGGCAGCACAGGCAAGGCGAAGTGGTCCCATGGTTGGGAATGGAGCTAGCACCTGGACCTGCTCCTGGATTCTGTAGGCGCAGACACTCCTGCTGTCCACAGTTGCTGCACAAGGGGGACTGGAAGTGACACTGCTGGCAGCAGAATGGCGGGGTATGGAGATGAGTGGAGGGAGCGCACGCAGAGAGGCTGGAGGGTAGGTGGCGTCTGGCCAGCCTCTGAGAGTCTGTGACTGTGGGGGTGGTAGCAACGGCAGAGGACGGGGGAAGGTATGTCAAAGATCCGTTCTGTTTGACCACACCGCCATTTTGGGTCGGTCTGTTTAATCTTTGGATAACATGAGTTTTTTGCTTCTTCTGTTGATAATGAGATCCTCCAATTTTCTCCCCTATAACACTTTGATCTCCATCAGCTGTAAGATGTTCATCACTAGAGGCAGCTGTGAGAGAGTCTTGACAGTTTTTATTCAGTGTGCTGCTACTTGACGGATCGTTTCCGGTGGCACTGAGGGGATGGTGCTCTCCGTTGCTGAAGGCCGTTGGGTATTCAACTGCATCGCTCAGGGCCATTATCTTCTCCTGGTGGGCCTGGCGAGGACACTCTCACTCTTCAAAGAGAAGAAAAAATCAGAAGTTAGTGCACACACTAGTACGTTAAAAGCTGCTGGAGGTAAATTGTTGTGAAAGGCATTGTTAAAATCTTGAAATCCTTTTCTTTGTTAAGTAGTGACCATGTTAAAGTTACTTTTCAGCACCATGATTTCTAAGTCAGACTCCAATGGGAATGTCCATTTCACACATTGAATCCTCATTTTAGATGACAGCTAAGAGCTAGGCTGACTTTAAGCCAACTATAACCTGCTGTTATCAGTGTGTAGTGTAAATGATGTTTACTCCTGTCACGGCCCATGTGATGATGCTTGTGTTGCTTCTAATTCCTGTTTCTGTGGGCCAGTGAGCAATAGTGGACAGCGCACTGAGCAGAGAAGGCGGAGAAGGTTCAACATCTTTGGCTCTGACAATTAGTGAGTGGTACCAAAACCAAGCACAGAAATCTGTGTTGTGTTTCGACTCGGTAAGTTCCGGACGTGTTGGTATCGTACAGGATTTCGGTACCCATCCCCGGGTCACAGTTAATGATATCGTTTCATCCTCATGGTGGGCGATGTGGAAAAAGTGTGTGTTTTATGGCAGGATCAAATTTCAGGATTTTATTGCTATTCTTTTTATTTTGATGACTAATTTGAAAGTTAGTGACCAGAAAAACCGAACTTACTAACTTAAATGCACAAATGCTGTGCTTACAAGTCTGTTCTTAAAACAAGTCATTTGCCTTCAGCAACTACCTGTTGGTACATATATGAAATAGTTAAATAATTGGCATTTGATAGTGGGCAACATAAGGTAAGGGTACGGGGTCTGAAGGTCTCCCTTCCTGAACATCTCTTTCCCTGCATTCTGATCAATCTTTCATTCTCTGCACTATAATAATGATATGGTCTCAAGTCCTCCATGACCACGTGTCTTTTCTACTTCCACAGGGTTATGCTCCTACTTCACAGTTCATCAGTACATTTTCACAAGTCCATTTGCCATGAGAATAACTCCAAGCTGTAATATGATGAAGTGATGTCCGTTATACACGCCTTACAACTACAAGTTAAAGGGATGTTTAAAGACAGGACCACAGCAGAGAAAACATGGCTTAAACTCTCAAAATTAAAAAGAGCATTAGTTAATGATCACTGTTCTTTAAGGCGGTTATAAATCAGTGACATTTACGTTACCTCATTAGCTTTTAAAATGTATTTTGTCTTTATCTGTCCTTTTATGCCTTGCTGCAAAACCAATCGCCATTCGGGGACACATATAGTCCAAGTTGCATTCACAAACAAACACTAGTTTTCACTTTATCCAAACCAGACAGATATTTTGCAGCTAAATGGATGTGCTTGCATTTGGGTGCTTAGCAATACATCACACCACCCTGTTTTCCCCATTCCTCAAAGACATGTACGACCAATACGCTCTGCAACACCTCAACATGAGTGAGCGGTGAAACATGAGTATGACAGCCCTTTCAGGTCAAGGAGGGCCAGGGTTGAGAAAAGAGGAGGAAAGAAGGTATATGTCCGGAGCCTGGAGTGCTCAGAATAGCAGAGTACTGAGGAAAGCCCAGATGAAGTCATTAGTCTGGCTCCCACAGCTGTCAGGAGCCTTAAAGAGGCAGAATGCTAAGTCTGCAAAGTTTTTTAAAAATCAAGTATGAAAATAAAGAGGAAATAGTTGAATGTACAGCCTAGTGTTCTCTCTGATGTTTGCATTTACAGGAATTCTGCCAGTGACTTGTGTGTGTGTGTATAAGAGTGTGTGTGTGTACCAAAGCAGAGCGTTGACAGGCAGGTGAGACATCTAGAGCAGACTGTTGTGGACTCAAGCAAGGTCTTGAGCCTTTCTACGAAACAAAAGCTGACAGCTGGTTCAAGCAGCACAAGAAAACGACTGAAAGAGGGGCTTAAAATATGCTTTCGAAAACATTTTGTCTTTTTATAGGAAGAAAAGTTTAGCAGATGTTCTTGTTCAAATAGACCCAAGACAGGACAAAAAAGGACTACATTAGCTTTGCAGCAAGTCCAGCCTGGTAGTTATTAACCATAAGAGAAAAGAAGGTGATACTAGAAACTGACTGGGTGAAAGAAGAAGATCTGTTTTCAGGATGTCCTCCTACTCTCTGATTACTTAACCTCGCCCTCTTTGGGGTTATAAAGCATCACATCTGGATTGCTGTACTTAAATTACCTTTTAGAAAACTTTACCAGGGACACATAAAGGACAGCAAATGATGTCTCTGATATGTATTTTATCCCCTCAACAGCAATCACGAACAACAGCGACATTTATGCCTCCCAATTTAATGAGCGCAAACTGTAAGTCTAAGGTTAACTGAAAGAACAGCTGTTCTGATTGGCTGTTAACGTTTATTAAAAGAAAAGCAAGTCCCTCCAAGTCTATCCAACAGATCACACTCAGACTTTCAAATGAGATGAAGAGTATATCTCTATAAAACATGCAGCTTCATGTGATTACTTGCCAGTTAGAAAAGCTCGACAGTCCTTCTAAAACCCCCACATGTCCTTGGCAGGAAGAAGCATCCAGATTTGAACCTAACTCGACCAAAAAACCAACATATGTAATGATTCCCAGGGCGACTGGTTAGGAAAACCACAGGTGATGACAAAGCGCTTCTTCTGCTGTCTTTCATGTTAAGTTTATGATTATGGGGTGCGAGAGAGATGAAGAGACCTTGGGCGACAGGCAGCTACACAACACACGGCAAGGCATCCTGCATCCCTTTAATTAAAACTAATAGGCAGTAATTACAAGGAATCAGTCAAGAGACTGTCAATAACGCCATTGCTTTGAATAATAATATCAACAAAAACAACACCAGAAGATGTCCCGGCAAGGTACTTAAAGGCTAGACATGGCTTCAGGACACATTCTGTTTCTGGTTGTCAGGAGGATTTTTTTTTTTGGGACATTTTGACCCCCTCACTCTTTCACGGCTTGGCTGTTAAGCATACCAATTTGACAGTGCTGGCTCAAGGCAAATAAGGTGAACATAGCAAGTAACCCTGCTGTTCTTTTTTTATCACTCCATCAACCCAGGGGTCCAACACAATAATAAGAATGACAAGAGAATCAATGATGTGAGAATAGGAAGTAGCCTTTTCATTTAAAAAAAAGATTTAAGCATGTTAAAAATCACAGTGGGAATGAAAGTTTTAAAGCACAGCATGAAAACATTCTCCTTCACATTCTTTAAGGAGGTTAAAGTTATTGCCATTTTCTGTAACAGACAGTCGTGATAAACATGAGGTACTGAATATATTCGCACAGCATTTCTTCTTGGAGTCCACTAATAGCTAAATGTCTAAATTAAATATTTACTATTGATTGTTATTGATTAATGTGTGCTTCTTTTCAGTGTATTAAAGCCTGCTACGTACATCGTGCATGTGACTTTAATGGGAAAAAGAGGTTCACTGGTTTGCTTCGGGCAGACACACTGGCGCTCCACGCCTGAGACCCACGGATCCCAACTTACTCACAACTTCCCACATCTTGACTTTCTCTCTACTTCAGAATAAAAGGACGCATCGAAGAAGCACACATGGTTGCGACTCAAAGACCTTTGTCGTCTAAATGAGTCCACGAACTCCGTCAAAACTTTGCAAACAGGGCAGCCCGAAAAGAAGGAGCCCGTTTTCATGATATCCTACCTATCGTGTGTTTTTGTGTGTGTGTGTGTGTGTGTGTGTGTGTGTGTGTCTCTGCGTGCTTTACCTCCGGTGGCTTCAGCGGCGTGAGGCGCTCCGTTATTACTGCGTAAAGTTTAAGAGTCCTCTGGTCCGAGTCGAAATATTCGCGAGTGGCTTTCAAACAAACAGCTAACCCGTACAAAAAAAAGCAGCAACACTTGTGAAGAAGAAGAGCAGGCGGGCTGCTTCTCATGGGAGTGTATCCTGCGAGAATGACAAACAGCCACAGACAGACACACACAACACAAGCCCCGGCTCCCTGCTCTCCCTCTGGAGGGACGGAGGCAGGAGGAGGTGGGCTAGGAGCGCACAGCAGAGCACTGATAGGACGGTCACAGTGTCAGCTTTAACCCGCTCACTGCCACACCAAGGCGCGACTGCATCACGTGAATTAAAATGAGCTTAGATTGAAAATAATAATAACATAGCCAAAGGGAAAGCTGAACAGTTCGGTAGAGTAGCAGCATCAAAAAAGCTACAAAAAGGTTTAAATTACATATTTGACTATTAACATTAAACACAACTATAACTGAGGAGGGAGCAATGAAGCCAGGTCTGGATGTTCACTATCATCAAACCATTAGAGGTTTTATCCCCGCCTGTTCCAGTCTTTATGTAAAAGTTTCCCTTCACATAAGATAGCCCGTCTGTTAGAATTTGGTGTTAAGCTGTGTGGATGTGAATATTACATTAACACTAGAAAGACCAAGGCAGTCATTTTGACTGTTTTTTAATTTTGCAATATAATAACTTACTTAAAATAAAACCTATGTAACTACAGGACCATGACTTTTCCGAAATGTGTCTATATTTTATTCTAGCATTGTTATTTTATCAAAAACACAAAACACTAAAGAGTTTTGAGTATTTCTACCTTGAAAGTCCATAGCGGTCATATTGACTGCATGCATTATAGCCAGTGTATCATTTCGGTATTCCCTACTTTTTCCCACTCTTGAAGGTAGAGGTGGAAGATATGGGAAAAATATCATATCACAATTTTTTTTGGGGCAAAATCACGATCACGATTTTATCACGATTTCTTTCATACTGATCTTTAGACAAATTTGTAAGTTGCTGACCTGTTCAACCAAACTTATTTCCCTGTATAATGTTTTTAATCTATTTGAAAAACATCTTGTAGGCGGTCTGGAGGTCTCTCACCCAGAACATCTTTAGCAACAGAAATGTATTTCCCTCAATTTGATCAATATTTATGCACAATTTGAAGGTTTTCCTCACCACTTTGAAATGATGATTTAGTTATGTGTCCTCTTTATGTTCAT